CGGGGCTTTTTACTATTTTGCAGACTAGCACCGTTTTGCAACAACAGACTAACATGGCTAACTCTACTGCTAACTTTGCAGGCGTAGACCAAAACCGTCGACGTCCAGTGGCAGGTTCCTCATTTCAAAGGTTGCCTCTCCTTTTCCTTGGACTGCTGTCTTTCCTTTAGTCAACACGCTTGTTCCTACCATTGTAAAGAAGTTCATGGCATGTTTTTTCCTTCAGGGCAACCTTTGGACCGGCACGGTGCCAGGACAGGTACGCTGCGATCAGCAAGAAATGTACTCTGCTTTCTGTCTTTCCTTTCCAGCTTTATAAATAACGCTTATGCGCCTGTCGATGTGGCACCTGTAATTTTTGTAAAGCCCCTGAGTACATTTGCAATCATAACTCACCACCAAAGAATACTGAAGATATGTCAATCCCCCCCCCCCTGCACACAAGATTTGTCACATCAAATTCTCCTGCAATGCCATTTCCAGTGTAGGAATTTGTGTCGAGATTTAAGGCAATGCTGTGATGAGAAAGGCAACACAACAGACACCCTGTGAGGGTTGTGGGGCTGGGAGAGCTCTTTCGAGGACTGCTTGTGAGAGAACAGCTCTGGGAGAACTTGTGACTGACCCAAGGTCACACCAGCAGCTGAATGCGGAGGAGTGGGGAATCAAACCCGGTTCTCCCAGATTAGAGTCCGCGTTCCCAACAACTATACCAAACTGGCTCTTCAAAGATAGAAGCCGGAAGGCAATGCTCCCTCTAAGCTGTGGAGGCTTGTGAGCAAAAATTCTACTTTGCGAGCTACTGCCATTAAGGTTAAGGTTTGGCTACTGCATAAATTAGTTTGCTCTGCAGCAATGCTCCCTCTAAGCTGTGGAGTCTTGTGAGCAAAAATTCTACTCTGTGAGCTACGGGCATTAAAGCTGTGAGCGAGCGATTCAGCTGCTGCATAAATTAATTTGCTCTGGAGCCCATCCTTCCCGAGCGAAGGTAAAAATCTGTGAGCCGAAGGCTAAAAAACTGTGAGCCAGCTCACAGTAACTCATTTTAGAGAGAACATTGCCGGGAGGAAAAATCCTCCACTGGAGCTGAGATGTTACAGGGCAGATTAAATGCAATCTGTGCTCCCAGTGGTGTTTTCATGAGAGGCTGGTGGAAGCTGAATTGGGGAGGAGTCCCAGCAAGGCCGTGGTCCCTTGGACAGCCCCCCCTGAGTCGTTAACATGGGGAAGGTCCTTGGCTCAGTGGAAGAGCCTCTGCTTGGCATGGAGAAAGCTCCAGGCTCAGTCCCCGGCATCGCCAGTGAAAAGGGCCAAGAAGGTTGTAGGAGGTTGTGTGAGGCCATTCCAGAGCGGCTGCCAGTCTGAGCAGGCGATACTAACACCGATGGACCAATAGCAGGGGTCGTTTCATAGAAAAAGAGCTAGGGGAACTCATTAGCATAACTCATTAGCATATGCCACATCCCCTGACATCAGGGGCCCGGCGGTGGACCTGCAAGGCCGGCGGGAGTGCGAGGAAGCCCCACCAAGGCCCTCCCTGGCCCCAGACAGGCAGGGGTGGGGAGAGGTGGGGAGGAAGCAACTTACCCTCCCTCTTCTCCTGCCTCCTCCTGGCTGAATGAGGGCCGGAAGCGGGGCGGCCGGAAGCAGGGGCGGGGCTTCGTCGTGTGCCCCGCCCCCCTGTACCTCACCTGGGGGAACTGTGATCCCCCGCGATCCCCCCCGAAATGACCTCTGATCTGATTCACTCAGTCTGTTTGTGCATTCATCTACTCAGTATGGCTTTTTCCAATTAATTTTATCGCCAGAAGGCTTTTGAGCTGAAATAAGTAAGGAAGCACGGTGTCTACAGTACCACATAGGAATCAACACGGAGCATTGTGTTAACATCTCTAGATATCACCCTGGCAGAATTCTACCCTATACTGTAAACAGTCGTCCTTAAAATAAGTTCATTTTTCCCCCCACATTACATTGGAGTCGCTATCATGTTTGACTGAAGTAGGGGACACGACTTCTAATATCACATTTGTTCTTTTAAAAAATGATGTCTTTTCCCCAACTTTAGGGAAGGTACAGTTGCCTGGGAGGGACTCCCACTGAATAGAATGGGGCTTACTTCAGAGTAGGCCGCTTGCTCTTCGGCAAAGAAGAGAGCATCCAGTTCTTTCTTCTCGTACCACAGTCGCTTCTGCACAGGTAGGCGGCATTTTGGGATGCCAGCCTCCAGGTGGGACCTGGAGATCCCCCCAGAATTTCAGCTCGTCTCCAGAGATCAGTTCCCCCAGAGAAAATGGATGCTTTGGAGGGTGGACTCTATGGCATGGTGCCCCACTGAGGTCCCTGCCCTCCCCAGGCTCTGCTCCCAAATCTCCAGGAGTTTCTCAAACGGGAGCTGCCCCCCCCCCCAACCAGTGGCCAGGGGCGACCTTGCAGCCCTAGTGGTATTCGACAAGTGCAGCATTGGCCGGCATGGAAATGGTTTTATGGCAGGGAGCTGCCCTAGTTGGCGTTCTGCTGGTCATGCCACAGGTACAAGAAGAGAGGTATGACCACCTTAAAAAAATTAGAAATCTGAATTGCGGTTCAGGTAATCCTCTCTCAGCATAAAGGTAAATCCTTTGGAGTCTCTCGGTCTAGGCACACCTGGCCGTTCAGAAGCGCCTACAACTCTTCAGGGAGCCAGCAGAAATACTACTTTCTTCTTCCTCCCTTCACAGATTATAACAGACTGGAATGGCAGGGGGAGGAAACAGGCAAAATCATACGTACAGCATTACAAGGCCCAGGAGGACGGTGAGAAGCAACCACGTCTCAGGAGAAAACGCCGGCAGGAGATCCATGTCGACTCCGGGTCGGCTGGACTTTCTCTGGCTCGGTTGTGCGCCTTCCTGTGTTCGGAGCTAAAAGTAGCAGCCGTTTCACAACCTCTTCTGATTCACTCTACTCCAGTTCAGACTCAATCGGATTGAGCTTTATATAAGAGAGAGGCGAAGTCCCCACCTCTTATCTGTTTCATAACTCAACAAACCAGCCTAGAAGGGCTGGATTACTTCATTTGGCCTCCCTTCGAAAGATGACCTCTGGAGGCTCTCTAATGGCAAGACAATGTACAAACGTGTGTGTGTGTGTGTGTTCCATAGCACATACCCACTGGCAGGCTGCTGTGCTACATAAGCAGGCTTTGGGGGATTTTTTAATAATGTTCTAACTTCAGGGAAGTGTTTCTGAATTGATTGTTCTCCTGAGGAACACCCCATGTTTGGCAGAAGACTTTGAGGAGGATATTAGGGCATATACTCAGAGAGGAGTAGGAGTAGGAGTTGGATTTCTACCCCTCCCATCACTCAGGCCGAATCTACATATGCATTTTAGAATCAGCTTGGTGCCGCTGTTATCCCATGTGGTTTAGAACTGCTGCGCCTCTGCTTTCAAGTTAGCATTAGGGGAGCTGTCCACTTTGTCTTCGTTTCAGTTATCTAATCACAATCTATTGTTCATCACTAGATGGCCCCTGGGTTCACTGGAGTGTTCTGGGACTGGAATGACAGGCCCCAGAGTGCAATGGTAGCCCCTGGGGTTAGCAGGAGTATTCTGGGACTGGAATAACCTGCTCCAGAGTGGAATGACAGCCCAGGGGGTAGGAGATGTGTCCTGGGACTGTAATGATAGGCCTGGCATTCCAGTTCCAGGTAGGGCTGCCAAATCCCCCCCCCCCGGTAGGGCGGAATTCCCCCCGCCCCGGAGGCCCGTTACCCGACGCCGGGGAATCGGGGCCCGGGGGGAACTCCGCCCCGGTGTGCACGTCACCCGGAAGTGACGTCGCACGCTGGGGGCGGGGCCACACCATTTGAGGGGAAAACTCTGAGGGGCTGTCATTCCACTCTGGGGCCTGTCATTCCAGTCCCAGAACACTCTGCTACCCCCAGGGGCTGTCATTCCACTCTGGGGCCTGTCATTCCAGTCCCAGAACACTCTGCTACCCCCAGGGGCTGTCATTCCACTCTGGGGCCTGTCATTCCAGTTCCAGAACACTCCTGCTACCCCCAGGGGCTGTCATTCCACTCTGGGGCCTGTCATTCCAGTTCCAGAACACTCCTGCTACCCCCAGGGGCTGTCATTCCACTCTGGGGCCTGTCATTCCAGTTCCAGAACACTCCTGCTACCCCCAGGGGCTGTCATTCCACTCTGGGGCCTGTCATTCCAGTTCCAGAACACTCCTGCTACCCCCAGGGGCTGTCATTCCACTCTGGGGCCTGTCATTCCAGTTCCAGAACATTTCTGTTACTCCTAGGGTCTGTCATTCTTACCCCTGTGAACTTAAAAATGAGAAACGCCATGACTCCAGGGCAGGAATTGCACCTTTTTGAGCCAAATGCAAGCTCTTACTCGAAAAAGCTGCTGACTGTGCATTGCCCAATCATATTCAGTGTTTATAAATTTAATAAACAGATACATTTCAAATAAAAAAAATTGAGGACTGGTACATAGCGATGAGGAAAAGCAGCCATGCAGGAATCAAACCAACAATGCCCTGATTTACAGGGCAGGAATTTACCCACTGAGCTAAACACAAGGTCTTGTGTTTTACTGCTGAGTGTGGCTCCTACAGCTCGAAGTCCCCCCCCCCCAGTGAACTTTAAAATGTCCCATAAAGCGGGGGGGGGGGTTAAGAAAATAAATGGTTTGAAAGTGGATAGATAAGTTTTGGAAGAAAAGATTTGAGGGCTGGTACATAGCTATGCAACGAACATGAAATTGAGCAAACTTCAGAGGACGGCGGAAGACAGGAAGGCCTGGCGTGATCTGGTCCATGGCATATGGAGCAGAGGTCCATCAGTGGCTATTAGCCACAGGGTATAGATAGGGGCTCTGGGGCAAGTGATGCTCCATCTTCTTGGTGCTTGGGGGGGTCAACAGTAGGAGGGCTTGTAATGTCCTGGCCCCACTGGTGGACTTCCTGATGGCCCCTGGTATTTTTGGCCACTGTGTGACAGAGTGTTGGACTGGATGGGCCTTTGGCCAGATCCAACATTGGCGTCTCTTATGTTCTTATGAGGAATCATTTTGACTTTAATCATTACGAAAGCTAATAACATCCCTCTGTCTGCCTGCCTGCCTGTCTGTCGGCAGATATATCTAGAGGTTGTCTTCGGAACAAATGGGATTTCTCTTCGTAGAATCTGCAAGGTCTCAACAGTTTGCGTCCTCTGCAGAGGTATCCGTATCACAATCCGGGATTCATTCTTCCTTTTCTCGTGGCACCAACTTCAGAACAATCGGTTTCTTTGGCATTAAGAAGACCTGGGAGCTCAGCTCCAGGGGAATCTGCAGCAGCGAGAAAAAATGTATCAATCAGGAGGTTATAGAATATTTCGATCCCAGTTAACAAACTGCTTATCCCAACTGAAGAACAAGACTTCCAGGTGAACGAGTTTAGAGGTCTGGTGCCTTAACTCTTAGGAGTGCTCGCTTCGGCAGCAAATATACTAAAATTGGAACTCTTCGGTTTCATTGGTTTAGATAAAAGCAGGGGTGTAGCCAGAAAATTTTGGGTGGTGGGGTATGGGGAAAAACTGGGCGGGGGCACCCCAGCCGCGCGCGGCTCCAGTTCCACGGCGACCTCTAGTCCTCTAGCCCTTTCGATTGGAGAGACTCAATTCTGGGCTGCTTCTCTATGTAAGAAGGGGGTGGGGAATCTCTGATTCTCTCTCTTTTGCATTTTGCACTCAATGAAATTGCTGAGCGGTCGGGTTAGAACGGATAAAAGAAAGTCCTTCTTCACCCAAAGAGTGATTAACACTTGGAATTCACTGCCGCAGGAAGTGGTGGCGGCTACAAGCATGGACGGCTTCAAAAGGGAATTAGATAAGCATATGGAGCAGAGGTCCATCGGTGGCTGTTAGCCACAAGGTATAGATAGGGGCTCTGGGGCAAGTGATGCTCTGTCATCTTGGTGCTTGGGGGGGTCAACAGTGGGAGGGCTCCTAATGTCCTGGCCCCACTGGTGGACCTCCTGATGGCACCAGGAAAAAAGCCCTGCTCATTTCTATTTCCATCACTGAGGAACAAACAATTTGGAGGAAGGGAAAGCGTAGAGTTACTCAACAGTTGAGGATCCCAGGAAATATCTGCTGCAAAAAATCATGCCAACATTTCCCGAGAGTTTCCTCCACTTGGGGACACTCACCGGGGTTTCTTTGCAGGTCCTGAAGGAGAAATGCTGCAGGAGCCTCACAATCGCCACTTTCATCGTGACCAGCGCAAATCTCATCCCGATGCAGTTCCGGGGACCGGCTCCGAAGGGCAGGTACGTGTAAGGATCGATGCTTTCTCTGTTCTCTTTGCTGAACCTGGTTGCATTCGAGACAGATGAGAGAAATGAACGGCTGCCGGTCAGGTGTCTGAGTGCCGATTCGGACATTTCAGTGTTTAAAGTTTCCTTTAATGTTAGAACCGAGTTGCCATTGGCCCCCCAGAGCACAACTTGGAGCAGAGCCACAATCCTGGGCCCTGACCTGGACAGCCCAGGCTAGCTCGGTCTCATCAGTTCTCGGAAAGTAAACAGGGTCGGCTCTGAATAGCACTTAGATGGGAGACTATCAAAGAAGTCCAGGGTGGCTATGTAGAGGCCGGCAATTGCAAACCACCTCTCCTTGTCTCTCCCCTTGACAACCCCATGGCGTCACTATAAGCAGGGGTCATTTCCTGCAGGAGCGCACAGGAGCGGAGCTCCGGCAGTAAAGAGCCCAGGGGGCGGGAACATGCAACAAGCCCCACCCCCAGCTCCCAGCAGCCCCCAGTCAGAGCAAGAAGCAGCCAGGTAAGTTGCAGAGCCCCCCCCGGCCCAAAACAGTCCAGTGGCACCTTTAAGACCAAGTTTTATTCAGGTACTAGCTCTCCCTCCTCTGCGAGGACAGATCTGCACGTATTGTTCCCCCCCCCCAATACCTAGCAATCCAAAAGAGTTCAGTGGAGCCTGAGCGGTGGGTGTTGCCTTCTGACACACTTCCAGTGATGACAGGGGGTGTGACATATGCAAATAAGTTATACTAATTAGTTATGCTAATGAGCTCCTGCACCTCTTTTTCTACGAAATGACCCCTGACTATAAGAATCATAGAATCATAGAGTTGGAAGGGACCTCCAGGGTAATCTAATCCAACCCCGTGCTCAGTGCAGGAAACTCACAACTACCTTCCCCCCCACACCCCCAGTCACCACCAGTGTTCCCTCTAAGCTGAGTTAGTGTGAGCCAGCTCACAGTTCTTTAGCCTCCGGCCCAATCTCTCGCTCACAGCTTTAATGCCAGTAGGTCACGGAGTAGAATTTCTGCTCGCAAGACTCCACAGCTTAGAGGGAGCACTGGTCACCACTGTTCCACGCCCAGAAGATGACAGAAAACCTCCAGGATCTCCAGCCAAACAGCTGCAACTTGATGGAACTTTCCACCACCGCCCCGATCCTGGAATACAAAGCCTCAACCTCCCCCCCAACACACATACACACAATTGCTTCGATAAAAATTGGGGCCCAAGCAAAGCTGACACAGAATGGGGCACCAGACCCCACCTGTGACCTCTGTAATATTCCATCGAAACAGTGTTACCTCTCGGGTCTAAATTCCTCTGGTTCTGGCCAGTATTCCGGGTCCCGATGCAGATTGTAAGGCGGAATCATCACCACTGTGCCTTTTGGGATAACCACGCCATTTATTTCAACGTCTTTCTTGCTGACCCTTTCAAGGCGCCCCCCGAGGGGGTACAGCCTCTGGGTTTCATTAATCACCATGTCGAGGTACTCCAGTTGCATGATAGCATCATACGTGAGAGGGGCCTTTGGAGATAGTAAAGGTAGATGGTTATCATCCTTAGAAGAGCCTATATGGGGTTTGTTTCCTCTCTCTCTCATACACAGACACATGCACACAAACAAATCCTGGACGTACACAGTAAAAGGTAAAGGTAAAGGTTCCCTTGCTCGAAAGCCAGTCGAATCCGACTCTAGGGTTGCGGTGCTCATCTCAAAACCGAAGAGCCAGCGCTGTCCGAAGATGTCTCCGTGGTCATGTGGCTGGCATGACTAAACACCAAGGCGCACAGAACGCTGTTACCTTCCCACCGAAGTGGTACCTATTTATCTACTTGCAATGTCTTGCTTTCGAACTGCTAGGTTGGCAGGAGCTGGAACTAGAGACGGGAGCTCACTCCGTCATGCGGCACCCGGATCTCGAACTGCTGAACTACCGACCTTCCACAGCCTGCAGTTCAGCATCTTAACCACTTCAGCCACCGCAGCTCCTGCTCCTACACAGTACTACACACTAAAAAATAATGGGATCTTATTGGTAGGACTGCTGGTCAACCATTGCTTTGTTAGGCTGTCTGTCGAGTTCTTATCCAATACAAATCAAACCTGTTAGCACATCCCCTGTGAAGTCTTGCCAGTCGGAGAAATGGGCAGTGCGTGACATTCTTAACCAAGGATATGGAAAATGTCACACTTCAGTTGGGAAAGACGTGGTTTATCTGTGGGCTTCGGAACCACGTAAGACACAAAGTATACTGTGTGTAGAGTTCCAGCAAGCCATTCCTTTCTTTCGTTTTAGAACAGATTAAAGTTATTTGATATTTTCTCCATATGCCTTCAGATGTATTTTTGCAAGTGTGAGATCCAGGAGGGTAAAGTTTTGTTAAAAAGGAACTGTGGATGCTTATACCCTTTTGTCGAGTCGTCCCGAGAAAGGATTTTTGATTGGTTGATGGTTTCCATGTGTGTAGTGTAGCCAGGAGATCCTATAATTGTCTGGCAGTCAGACGTTCTAGCTCTTTAGCATTATCCAACATACGCCACCAAGAGACAAGCTAGAATTACACCCCAGCTATGCATGAGTGGTCTGAAATGTTCGATATTAATATTTAAGGGGACTACCCCATCAATCTGCGTATATGCTTTGTATCAACTTGGTGACATACTTTGGACACGCTCATACACACAATTAGACCCGCCATAGGCGTGAATGCCAGGTGGGTTTAACAGGCGTGATCAGACACCGACATCTGGGAAGCGCCCCGCACCCATTGGCAACCCGTTTTGCTCTGCCGCAGAAGCAGAGTAAAAAGACAGCTGTCAAAATCCAGTCGTAATCAGGTTGCGACGGGCCATGGGCAGACTTTCCCCTGTCTGATCGCTGCAGCGTGCTCTCATGGCATCGGAGATGGTATGATCGGGCCATCCCAACTCCATGCTCTTGTTCCCCCCCCCCCGGTTCTCAGTATGCGCATCATCGCACACTTCATAGGGAGCCCTCAATGCAGCGATGTGATCCATTGGTCCCTCGTTGAAGCGCATCGGGGGGGGGAACCCCAACTTACCCACGGTCGCGTCTGATGACTCAGTGGCGGGATGTGCCTGCAGCTTCCAAGGATTGTGTGATCCCGCAACTGCGGGTCAAATTCCTATGGAATAAATAGCCTCGCTACCCCTCCCCCCCCCCTCCGCGCTCACTCCTCCCTTTTGCCCCGATGGTACATGTCAATTTCACACAAGCTGCTGTGTGGCCGCATTCTGCCCCGCAGCTTCGTGCAATTTCCCCCGCGTCTACTCAATCCTCAAAAAACAGGATTGAGTAGACGCGGGGGGGGGGAAATTGCACGAAGCTGTGAGGCAAAATGCTGCCGCACAGCAGCTTGAGTGATATTGACATGTACCATCTGGGGGGGAAAGGGAGGAGTGAGCGCGGAGCAGCGCTTGTGGGAAATCACCCAAAGAGTAATGTGGATACTAAGACGAGCCTGAGAGGCTGACGTGGGCCAATATTCTCAGAGTGAGATGAGGGCTAAGGTGACCAGATCTCAAAAAGCGGAAGGGGGTTGGGTCTTGCCACTGAAATTGGCCCCTAAAAGCTTTGCTTCCAGGTAGCTCAGGACCAGTTAGTATTTCTTTTGTGTTGCTGAAAGCAACTAAAGGACTGCAGGGCCACCTGTTGACTATAGGGGACATTTTTGTTTTGGAAGATGAATGTTGTTAATTGAGGCAAATTGGGGGTGCTGAGCAAACCCAAGAGAGACGCCGGCCACTTTGGTTGTGCCGTCGATGGGCTCACCTTGTTGGGGAGAACAGACTCGATTTCGTCATGAAGCTTCTGTTGGACGTCAGGGTGCGTGGCCAAGAGGTAGGCGATGTAGCCCAGGGAATTGCTGGACGGCTCATATCCCGCGAAAATAAAGATGACCGCTTGGGCCAGAACCTCAGTGTCGGTCAAGCCTAGGAACAAATGGAGGCAACAAAGGTGAAATCCAAAGACTCCAGTGCAGGGGTCATTTCGTAGGAAAAGAGGTGCAGGAGCTCATTATCATAACTCATTAGCATAACTTATTTGCATATGCCACACCCCCTGACATCACCAGAAGTGTGTCAGAAGGCAACACCCATCGCTCAGGCTCCACTGGACTGTTTTGGATTGCTAGCTATTGGGGGGGGGGAGGAATGTGCAGATCTGTCCTCGCAGAGGAGGGAGAGCTTGTACCTGAATAAAACTTGGTCTTAAAGGTGCCACTGGACTGTTTTGGACCGGGGGGGCAGGGGGAGGGCTCTGCAACTTACCTGGTTGCTTCTTGCTCTGACTGCGGGCTGCTGGGAGTAGGGGGTGGGGCTTGTTGCATGTGCCCGCCCCCTGGGCTCTTTACTGCCAGAGCTCCGCTCCTGTGTGCTCCTGCAGAAAATGACCCCTGCTCCAGTGGGCATCTGTCCTTATGCTACATAAGCGTGTGCAAGGATTTGGTGTGTGTTTGTCCTAGGCAGAACCGCAGTGGAGTGTGGGAAGCATCCCATAATAATCTGTGTGACTCTCCCAAGCACTGAGAATGTACTGTGAAAATGCTTCCAAGTTTCTTGGGCTTCTGTTTCAAATCCTATAGTGTGTTTCTCTCCCCACCCCACCCCCAAAGTTCACACGTGACTCTGTGTTTTGTTTGTATTCCTCCTTCAGTCTATAGAAAATAATGTCCCGCTTAGCACCTAGAGCAGAGGAGATCCCTTTTCTTGGGATTGTCGGTTCGTCTTTGCTGAACACGCCCGAGAAAACTTGACGTCTTGCCAGGGTTGCTTTGTGGATTCTGTCAACACTGATTCAGAGGCGTGTTCACTGTTTATTGCCAAGTTGAGAAGAATAACCTTCTAAGCGTTCCAGACATGCGAACTGGTTGGCAGGGCCAGGATTTGGAGGGCCTATGTCAGACTCGGGCTGGGTTACTGTTGTACTGATCAATGTATTGCAATTTAAGATCCCTATCTGTTCTATAGAAGCTGCGGTGGCTCAAGTGGTGAAGACGCTGAACTGCAGGCTGTGGAAGGTCGGTAGTTCAGCAGTTCGAGACCCGAGTGTGCCATGTGACAGAGTGAGCTCCCGTCTCTAGTTCCAGCTCCTGCCAACCTAGCCGTTCGAAAGCAAGACCTTGCAAGACAATAAAC